GTGGGGGGGGGGAGGAAAATACTTACTATAATACCCTTCCAGGTATTAAGTCACATTGATAGACCCCGATCCATTAATCCCTTGCTGCCCGATTTCCCACCTTTCCCTCTGTATGGGAGCATTGAAAACTTTTTCTTAAAAAGAATACCATTCTCTACCATGTTCTGGGAGATGTCAGTTTAGCAGAGTTCCTGGTTAAGGGAGAAGAGCAGCTGCAGCTCTGTGCCAAACTCTGCTCTCACACTCGCAGTTATTGCGCAAAGTGTTTTGTACAGCGCGCTCCAGCAAGCCTTAGCACCAAAGAAAGCTCAAGCACACGATCCAAAACAGGGAGTATGCCAGAGGCGAAACTTCTCTCTCTGAAAGAATACGCTGGGTTTTGTTGCATTTTTGAAGGGGAAGGAAAAAACAACTGATACGTCATTCCAGGTTTTCCACTCCCTTAAATAATCAACAGGAAGGGGACAGCTATTCCAGTAAAGGGAAAAGTTTTCACTGAGGCAAACAAGGCAGCCAGGCAGCCAATCCTATTTCCCAGCACTCAAAAAATAAGAATGCTTACACTGCTGCCAGTCCAACACCCGACAGGACTCAGCTACTCCCGAAGAACAGGCCTACAGCAGTTTAGCTGTCAGCCTTTACCAGCAGCCTGTGAGGGAAACAGATGTGGGAATGGTAAAACCAGCTAACTTACTGCACTGAAGCACACAGGACTGCAAGGGGAGAGGTGTTTTGAGAAATTCTGGGCATTCATTTCTCTTGTTCATAAATCCTGAGCCTTGCCCGTGGCACAGTTAATGGAAACAGCACGTCCTGTTTTGTGCCAGGTCATTCTTCCTGCAACATGTCACGATACCTGAACCATCCTCTTCAGAGAGCTACTTACTCTTACTAGCTGGGTGTAGCTAGGCAAATCACAACATCTTTAGTAACTAGCCACTGGTTCAGTTAAGGCTATTTTAGCTAAATTAAAAACAAGCTTAGGGTAGTTTATAAAAATAACCTATTTTCCAAAACCACATTACAGACTATTTTTGTATATTTTCATTCTGCTAGCTCCTGAAGTCATACAGTAGCCAACTGTTCCATTTTTTTAAGGGTTATGAAAATTAAAAAAAAAAAAGTTGGCAACACTGAAGCTGTACAGAAAAGGCTCAGCAGCAGCCTGAGTTCTCCCACAGAGCACTGCCTGTACCCTGGATTACTTGGAGGAGCAGCCCTACAAACAAAATAGAGGGTCAGTTTCCCTGGTTGTACAATCAGCCACTGCCCTGCTGAGATCATCAACAAGCACAGAAGCATTATGTACGTGTGTCCAGAGAGATGCTGTCTGCCAACTTAAAAAAAAAAAAAAAGGCTATTTTAGAGAGGTCAGCTGCTGGGCAGTACTGATTTTCAGTTACTCATACAAGATTTAATAAGCCCATTACCAACAACAGTGGGGATTTTTCTTCATCCAAACTTGGAGGCTTGATCAGTTTCTGCATAACTGAATAAATATATTATCTTTCTCATAAAAAAACCACCCCACAATCCTCAGTATGAGGCAATTGCAAAGGCAAGTACAGACAAGGAGCTGACTCACTGAGACGGCACAATACCTCCGCTCCTGCTCAGAAGTTCGCTGAGCGGGAGGAGAGTAGCCCCGGCACGACTGTCAGTTTAACGGCTGCTATTCATAGTGCCACCGACAGCTGCAAAACCATGAAGAATCGTGTCATTTTATACATCTGCTGCTCCTTTGGAGGAAGTTCTGAGTAACTGCAACTGCAGAGAGAAATGCTGCAGTTGGGGGAAGATGTACAAGGTGTTCATAACGAAGGCCTGAGAAGAAAATACAAAATGCATAGCCACAGACTAGCCCAATTTCACTGCCACAATTCCCAGGGAAGAAAGGGGAAATTATGGGGGCTTTTCTGGAAATAAATCAGGCCACAAGCAACTTGCAGAGGATTAGGTAGAGTTGGGAACAAAACCATATTTAACTCAGTCCTTTAACCACTAAACCACTTCCAAGACCAAGCAGAGGGTAAGCTTCTCTGTCAAGGTCCTGTGTCTTGTGCGTGAGGTCTGGCACGGGGAGCTCCCAGTCCAGCTGCAGCCTCTGTATAGGGCTATAAGACAAACAAAGAATTCTACCCGCAGTTACCAACTTGAACTTTATAGTTCAAGTCACTGTCAGCATGATTCCCAATAGCTCCGACCACCTCCCAGTTCTTACAGTCTCTAATTAGTTCCTAACTTTACAGTGCTAAAAGAGCTCACACAGTGGCATTCGCCCACCAGGAAACAACTCCAGGCATCACGTTACATACAAGGCCCCCAAGCCCACAGCAGCAGCAGAGAAAACTTTCCAGCTACAGTTTTTAATGAGAAAGGTGATCCAGAAACTCTGCAGCATACGATCAATGTAGATTAGTTTTGTACCACTGCAAGCAGGAGGCAGAATATAGAAGAAAAATCAAAGAGTCAGTGTCTACCTTCCATCAAAAAAGAAGAACTTGCCGCGGCCATTCTTTTCTCCATGCACAAAGTTTCCCTCAAATCTGTCTGTTGATGAATAGGTGACTGTACAGAATCCATGTGGCAGCCCATCATCATCTAGATGCCCTGAAATAAAGTCCAGACAAAGAGCAAAAGAACACATTAAACATCATATAAAATTGCAAACCTGTTCTGATTACATAGACGCTTGAAATGCAGTAGCTCCCTAGCACAAAAACAGTAAACTGCACCAGAACATTTCTGTTAGGAACAGCGATCGGATATTCAGTACAACTGAAGTCTGTACTTGTGTAATACACCCTCCTTAAAATAAAAAAATAAAAAGGGTCAGGATAAAAGAAAAGGGATGAGAGACAGGAGAAAGAAGAATAAGCAAAAATACATGTTTATAAAAAGAAACAAGGTTCATATTACTCTAACTTGTGTTAATATATGTCTTCAAAAACATAATAATTCTTTATCTAAAATATGTATTGCCTGGTGAGAACAGAATAGATTTAGACTTCAGTCCACTGAGTAAGAAAAGGTTTGGGTTTTTTTGTTTTAATAAATACATGTCTTACAACAATGTGGGTGTGCCACCTCGTAGCTGTATCCACAGGATTTAAAGAAATAAAAGTGCATAGTATCCAGAATACTATGCCCTTGCAATATGTCAGTCAACTTGCTATTTCATATTCTAAATGCTGATCTCCAGTGCCTTTCTGATGTGTTCACATTACATCCCCCCCACCCCATTCCCTTTCCTAGCCATACCAGTATTCCTCACTGTATTCCCTGTTGCACATGGGGAAAGCAGAGGGGATCCTCACCTGCATGGGTCTGTATTTTACAGACTACAACTGGCCAACTCTGATAAAGTTAAAGCATAATAAGGCTTCTATTGCATCTCTGTCTGCCTCTTCAAAGCCAAAAAATGGAAGAGCATTTTAAACAACTGCTATTGTCTCATTTACCTGGGTGAACTTTGGTGTCCTTAGCACTGCGTTAGCAGAATGTCCCTCCGACTGGAAAATGAAGATGCTGAAGCTCAGCAGGGCTGCTTTCGGCACAGCCATACACCAGGCACAGGGCTAACAAGCTCCCGTCGTGACATTTTCTCAGGTATAAATTTTGCATGAAAACTGACAACTAAATAAAAGCTAGCATATATTTATGTTCTTCCACTTTTCTAAACAAAAACTGGCCTCTGATCCCCCAAGTCTCTTGGTGAGGCATGCAAAGCGTACTGGAGATGAAAGACAGCTCACGCATCCACTTCTACAGGCTTTGGGTCAAGCCCCTCCCTGACCGAATTTGCCCTAAACCGAAAAGGTTCAACACACATATGGAAAGTCAGAAACAAACTCCAATGTGACGAACGGTGACTATAGCCCAGGCTGATGCAGGCAACAAGAGGCACTTCAGTATTACCAAACCTCAATCCCTATGCCTGGGAAGAAAACAAACTGTGCAGACAGCAGTGGGAAAAGCCAGCCACGCGGATGGCTTCCGAAATCCATCTACTCATGCCATGACTGCATGAGGTCTGCCAGGTTCTGCGAGGACAAGGGTACCCAGAGGGCTCACGCGTGCCCACGTGTTCTTCTCGCAGCAACATAAGCTACTGCTTCCCTGGGATGCTTCACAGCCCCTCAGGGGCATCACAGACAGGGCATGGTGAGGATGTGGGGCAGCACCTGGTTAAGAAGTCCTTGCCTACAAGAGACATGACCTACCCTAGCCTTGTAATACCGGAGTGACTGACAGAAGAATGCCATACAGCTCAGGATACTTCGTCGGGATGTATTTCCAAACTTTTGTCTATCTCAAAGTAGAATTTCATTTAAAAAAAAACCCCAAAACCACACACACAAGAGAGACAAAGATAGATGAAAAAAGAAAAGAGCTAAGTGAACGCTCCTCAAAGTAACCAAGTAAGGCTGTGCAGGTTTATTACCGATCTCCTGCACTTGTTACATTGAGTATGGAAATGCACCTGGAAAGAAGGTGCACAGGAGAAAACAACGGCGAGATACCCGAACTCATCCAAGAGCCAAGATTCCCTCCTTCACCCTTCCCACGTGCGCTCCCCAAAGTTTCTCTCGCACCTGCGCTGGCACTTGCCTAGCACCCTCTGCAAGTAGTGCAACTCCCCAGGTTGGCAGAAAATCCTTCCCGTTGCCGTGTTGTTGCCGGTTCGGGAGGCTGACCCTGCACCCCACGTCACTGCGCTCTTAAGTTCCCAGTCCAAGCTGGACTGAAAACAGTTAAAAGTTTAAAGAGTTAATAAAACCAACCAGACACTGCTCACTCCCCAAGCTGAGAAAATGAACAGAGTAAAAAAGAGTAACAGCACAAAAGCGGGGGGGAGTACCTCACTAAAGGCTGTTAATAACTTTGAAGAGGAACCCTTTAAAACAGAAAGGGCAGCATGCTGTCCTTCCCAAACAGAAGAAAGGCTTTGTTTCCCCTCCCATTCAGCTGGGACACCCCTTTTTGTAGAAGGGAAAAGTTTTAGCAGTTATGCCAATTTAACTAAAAGGTCAGTGAAATTTCTGATGTGGACATCTCTTTTTAGAACAAAACCAGCTATGTCAACAGTTACGGTTTTAATTAGAAGCTTCAGTTTTATCAATACGGGAAGGGTGTACGGGTGTAAGTTAACCAACCCTGAACAATACAGTAAGTTTTCCCCTTACTATAGGAGCAAAACTTTTATAAAACACTTGGATTAAAAAAAAAATACTGACAGTATTGGTACATTACAGAGTAAAAAAGAGTAACAGCACAAAAGCGGGGGGGAGTACCTCACTAAAGGCTGTTAATAACTTTGAAGAGGAACCCTTTAAAACAGAAAGGGCAGCATGCTGTCCTTCCCAAACAGAAGAAAGGCTTTGTTTCCCCTCCCATTCAGCTGGGACACCCCTTTTTGTAGAAGGGAAAAGTTTTAGCAGTTATGCCAATTTAACTAAAAGGTCAGTGAAATTTCTGATGTGGACATCTCTTTTTAGAACAAAACCAGCTATGTCAACAGTTACGGTTTTAATTAGAAGCTTCAGTTTTATCAATACGGGAAGGGTGTACGGGTGTAAGTTAACCAACCCTGAACAATACAGTAACAGTTTTCCCCTTACTGTAGGAGCAAAACTTTTATAAAACACTTGGATTAAAAAAAAAAAAATACTGACAGTATTGGTACATTATACTATTAAAAAAAAACCCAAACCAAAACCAACAGACGTGCAACTGTGACTATTCAGTTTTGTCAAGATTTTGCTGGAATGCAAAGCCCAACACAAAAGCTGCCATGCTTATACACAGCACGCATGTCAGGACTTTTGCACAGTAGGATGCAGACTATCCCAGAGATTTAAATGGGCAGCTTTGATCCGACGGCCTCTATACAGAGTCTTAATCTCAGCCGCAGTACAAAGAATCCAATTCTTCTAATGTGCTAGAGACTTTCCCCTGTTGAGAAAAAAATTATATCCCCCACCCCAACAAAACAAGAGACATTCAGTCTCTCTTAGTCAATAGTGGGGAAAAAAAGCAATTTCAAGTTTAATTACATAGATGCAACTTTTCCGGCATGGGTGAGGCCTTAGGCTCTAGTTCTATTTCAGATGAAGTCAATGGAGAAAATCCTCATGATTTTTTTTTTAGGAGCAAAGCAGAACGTTCCGCTTCCCTTTCTCCCCTCTCTCCTCCATTAGTGAAAACCACCCCAAAACGTCTAAATATATTTTTAAATGATTGTAAAACCTCACTTTTGTTACTTCTTTAAGGGTCTCTCAAGATCCCCTCTTAAGCTCAGACCCTGAACTATTCAAGAAAAGGAATTACACTAACAGGGGCTAGTTCACAATGCAGCACGAGGGGGCCGCTTACCAAAACCACTGATGTGTACAACCCCAAAGCCCTTTACTGTCAGTATTACTATTATTTAACAGAAGACATACAGCGTGCATCATCAGTAAAAGCTTCTGGCCACAAAGATGCCAGATGGATGTTTTAGGAATAACAACACTAAACCAACACACACACACACACGCTCCCCCCCCAATATATGTTATTTCCACCATATTTCTAACTTCCTTTGCTAAGTGCAAAAACACCCAGCCAGCCTATTCACCCCCAAACAGCTCCCTGCTTCTGCGTCACTCAGACAAGCACATACTTTCATATACGCTGCTGAACAACGTATGCTTTAAAAACTCGTTTCCTTAGCCCACAGAAACGCTAAGCAAATCCACAATACAGCAGAACGCTTTACCTGCGACACGAGGATCAAAACGGCGACTCTCTGCCCAAGACACAACTGTGATCCATAGATTTGAGGAGTGGGGAGGAAAGGGAGGGGGAAAAGACACATCTATTCGGGCACAGGGCCCTCCCCATCCATAGCACCTTGTGTTTGAAGAATCGCACTCCCCTCACAGCCCCCTTTTATGCCGCAAAGCTTCCCTTCGGCTCTGTTACCGCATACCCAGACAATAAATCCAGATCCTGGCAGCAGCTGCTCAGCTCGCATCTGTTGTTCAACTAAGGCGCTGCACTCCACGTCTTCTTCGGAGAGACGCGGCCTAATCCTCCCGCCACAAGACGCAAACAGCCCACCGAGAATTACCGGCATCTTCCCACAGGCAGCCCCTCGCTTTTCCGTGCTTAATCCCAACAGCTGAAAATCTGGGATTGCTCTTTCCAGCGGGGCTACGGAGCCCGCGGGGGAGCGGGGGCCTTCGCGCGCAGCTGGGCACGCTTTTGCCCGGGCGGCAAACCCGTGCCAGGGCTCCCAGGACGGCAGCGGGCGCGCCGAGCGGCACCGCCGCGTGCCAGGGCCGCTTCCATTGGCGATGGCGACGCCTTCCAGAGGCGCGTGCCTCCGGTTTAAAACTCCTCGAGGGTTTCGTTCCCTGCTCACCCAAAAAGGCTCGTGCAAGGCGGGGTGTACATCGCCTACGAGACGGGCGACTCGACTCCAGCCCTGCTGCCCCTTCTACGCCGCCGGTGGGCGCTTCCTCCAGCTCCCCTTCGCTTCTCCCTTCGCACCAAGGCCAGCTGCAGCCTTCGGCACGGGCGCGCCTCCGAAGGAGCCCGCCAAGCTCCGGGAGGAA